AAATAGGAGCCTAATGGAAGCGCTGACGGAGCAATTTGCAAGCAAGAGCCCTGGGGTGTGGCGACTCGGGGCTCGCGGTGGAGTTCTGGTTTGGTGAACGCAGGCCTGACGTGGAAGCAGCACCAGCAAAGCTGAAGTCAAAAGACAGAGCTGTTACTTGCGACCATCTCAAAGATAAACAGAAGGTAGAATCCGCTTGCTTGGACCTTTAGAAGCTTCGTATTTCTACAGCACAAGAGATCTGAAAATAAAACTGTTATCACTGACAGTTACAGGAATTCATGTGAAGCAGTGAAAAAAAAATCAGGAAAGCAACACCCCGATTGCTGCTCACAACCTTGAGGAGCCACAGGCATGAGAAGTGATCTCACAGGTTTTCAATACAGGAAAATAATCTTAGAATCACAGAATCATTAAGGTTGGAAAAGGCCTCTGAGGTCATCAAGTCCAACCGTCACCCCAACACTCCCACGCCTGCTAAACCATGTCCCCAAGGGCCACATCCAGACGGTGTTTGAACCCCTCCAGGGATGGGGACTCCCCCATTGCCCTGGGCAGCCTGGCCCAAGGCCTGACTGATCACTTCAATACTGTCTAACAGCAGATGTGAAAGCAGTCTGTCTTATCCTCAGCGATGCTCAAATTAAAATTTCCATCTGTATCTATATCAACACAGGTGAAGCTCTTCTAAAAGCTGAAGAGTAGATCATTACATCAGGTTTATTTTGACCAGAAGAGACACGATATTTAGAATTAAAACCTTGATGACAGAATCTGTCTGGGCACGTGTCTGTGCACGGATCTGAGCACAAAAGTTTTCTCAACTCCAGCAGTAACAATGCCTCATCGGAAATGATTAAGAAGCCCCTGTAACATTTCTGATCACGATAATACATCCAGCTGCAACTCATATCCAAGTAAGAGGCCATAAGGACAGTATAAAATTTACAAGGACAAACAACACATGCGTGCCAAGTCAAGGGCTGAAAAAGAAGAGTACAGGCTTCAGGGAGAACAGAACAGGCAAGCAAGGAGAGAAAGATCAACTTTCCTTCTCCCCATTTTTAATTTATGGCTTTGGAGTCCACCAGCAGGTGTCTGAGGATCACTTTTATTTTATTTATTGCTTTACTTCATTTATTCAATTAGTTTTTAGTGTTCACTTATTAGACCACATGAAGATACTTAATTTCTGTCTTTTTTTTTTTGCCCCACACAAAAAGATGACAAAAATCTACTATGTATTGAAAACAAAAAAAAAAGAAGAGCTTTTGGGAAAGCCCACACGACAGGGAAACCTGAACCCGTTCACGGCGTTGCTCTGCAAACTCCACAAAGCAGCAGCACCCTACGAGAAGCGCTCTGCGAGACTTACCAGCAGGCCAGAATACAGAGAGCAGTGAAGAGGATGATGGGGATGGGGTAGGAAGCACACAGCAGCCCGTGGTTGTAGAACGCCCGCGATATCCTCTCGCGCAGTTTTTCAGTCAGGGTCATCCTCAACGGTCGTCACCTTGCTGCCATCCCGGAACACAGCAGCGGGTCGGGCAGTCCCAGCATGTGCAACGCTTCAGCGAAGGCACCGTGTCCAGCTAGAGACCGGAAAGGAAAACAGCTCATGAGACAAATAACTAAATAAAAGGAAAATCAATATTACCAACTTCTTTTAGAAAGACTTCCAGCGCTGTAAGCCCTCAGAAGGAATGGGAGAAGACGACACCTCACATGGAGGACTTATGAGCCTCCAGGTAATTTGCTCAAATTACCGGGTTTTGCCTAGGGGAAGGAAGGGCAGAAAACATCGGCAGAGAACGAACGCCAGCCGAAGAGACGTCAGGCACCGCTGCCGTGAGCTGCTGGTCAGAGAGCCCACGCAGGCACGGAGCTAGGAACCAAACCGCCTGCAAGGAATCACAGAATGGTAGGGGTGGGAAGGGACCTCTGTGGGTCATCTAGTCCAAGATTTGGAAGGAAGAACAGGAGCTTAGCAGTAAAAGAATTAAGCAGCACACCGAGGAGCTGCCAAAACGCCAATTAGAAAAGCAGGACTGAGGCTGGCTGTCAGCAGCACGGTCTGAGGGAAGGGCTCTCGACACCGACTGCGGCGCTGCCGGTGCTTTCACCACCAGCAACCCACCAGTAACACCAGGGAGATCGGAACAGGCTTCGCAGCTCGATCCACAGAACGGTATTTTTGCACGGGGAATGAGGGAGGGAAGCCTGAGTAGCCACAGCTCAGAAGACTAAGCCAGAGTACACCACGGAGTAAAATAAATTAATGAGCAGACTGCTCGTCAAGACGCATTCTGACTTGACTGCCAGTCTGATGACCAGGCTGTTTACCGAGTGCAAACTGAATTCCAGATGTCAGAACTGGTCCACCTGAACTTGCAATTTGATTTACAAAGTATAAAAAATTCAATATAAAAAGCCCTAAGAAAAGGTTAAGATAATACATTACAATACAGCACAAATCAGATTTCTAGGAAAGACGGAGCACTAGAAACCTACCCTCTAACTTTATTTATTTAAAAATAATCTCAGGCTAAACGCAAAGCAGGTGGCTCACAACAGTGTGCTCGGAAGCAAAAGGCTTGAATGCAAGACAGATTTTTTTTTCCACAGTTCAAAGCTACGATTATCCAAGATTTTTATCCGAGAGGAAATAAATACGTTTTTCCTGGCTTCCCCAGAGTAAGACAGGGACAGTAAGATACCCACAGCATATGAAATAAGTCATTTTGTCCACAGGAAAACGCCATTAATGACTGTGCCAGAGAATTCAACACAAGACCTAAACCCAGGCTACCCATTAAAACAAGTACAGGCTTGGGGTGGACCTGCTGGAGAGCAGCTCTGCGGAGAGGGATCTGGGTGTCCTGGTGGACGACAGGTTAACCATGAGCCAGCAGTGTGCCCTGGCTGCCAAGAAAGCCAATGGAATCCTGGGGTGCATCAAGAAGAGTGTGGCCAGCAGGA